ACTCTCTCCCTCAGCTACCACTGACAGTGGGTTGATGGTGTGAAAAACATCATGCGCCGTCTCAATTCTTGAACTGGCCTGCCATGTTGGCGACATCATGAAGGAACCACGTTACTCTTACCTCCTCCCTGCCCTGGAAAGCCCACCTCAAATTGGTTTGGTAGCCCTTGTTTGTTGATGTTTTGCTGTGTGAACAGTTCTTAGTGGTGGTAAGAGCTGTGATGACTGGTCAACGCTTCAGGAAAGAGACTCGGAGAGACCTTTTTGGCGCAACAAAGTTTTGAAAGTCCAATCGCCAAACATCAGTTAAATCCTGATCCTGGGTGAGCCGATAGGAGGCACGCGACTAGTAAAAACAAAAACAGTACTTCACTAAGTCTTTTATGGACAGCAAAATGTATATAAATATGTTTGCTCTAACTTTCACTCTTCATTCATACCACACGTACATGAATGGCTTTAGTAGGGCCCTCACCCAGGACAGGCCTCAAAACTCAAGGCGTCAGGCATACCGAGTTTTCGGGCTTGAGTTGAGCTCACGCAATGCAGCGAACTCCCGGAAAATTATATCCGCAGTTCGGCTATTTGATCTCAGGTGGCAGCTTGCTGTTTCTGAAGGTCTCCAAATTGTTTGAAAAATTTCACTTCGATGGACTCCGCAAGCCACAAGCCAGATCCTGGGTTGCGGGCAGAGCAGTTGACAAATAAACATGTTTTCATTTAAATAGTATGAGGCTTTCGTACCCTGCCCATCGTCCAAAATCTAAAACGGCATTGGGCGTTGGACCAAACCTGTCAAATTAATTTCGTTTCTTCACCCTCGTCTCAATCAGAATCAGAAGCCAGAATCTGTGTGACCTCTTGGTTGACGAGGGCCAAAGAACAGCCAGCATGGCTGCCCAGCACGGCGAACTAACAGCAAACTTGACTTGACTTGTAAATGCTTGGTAAGCTGAGCCATGAGACAGTCCACTGACAACAAAGGCGACGCGTACAGACTGAAGGGCCCCTGGGCCCCAAAGGGATCGTGAACATTGACTCACACGGGGTGAATTTAACAGCATGAGGCAGCACCCTGACCAGAATCACCACCAGTTTGAGGGGACATCCAAGAACGCAATGCTGGTTTACAGTACGTAACCTGCGGGCCTGAAACTGCTCAGGCCAAGCTGCCCCCCACCTCAACTCCACTACTGTTACTGTCCTTAACATGGCCGTCTATGAGCGCTTTGCTAAGCTTTTTGCGGCTTAAAAGCCTTGTAGGAGTATACTGAGTATACCTGTCACAGAGAACAGTCACTGCTCAACTCATCCAGCGCTGCACCTTTTTTGCGGGAGCATCCACAAGTGCCACAGTCACAGTGTCTGTCACACGATCAGTCCACATCCTTCGGGTCGTCTGTCTCCACCACTTCGTCGTCCTGCACTGCTTCTTCCTCCCCACCTTCATTCGCAAGGTCCGCGTCTTCCTCAATCCCACCATCCTTCGCCGCCTTCGCATCATCGCCTGACCAAAGCAAAGACAATGGCAGTCGAGAGCATGGATAGCTTGGGTGGATACTGTGACTGGTAGAAGCAGCAAGGCAGGTCACGTCCCACTGTTCACTGTTACCCAATGCCAGTATCATGTTCATTGAGTTTCATGAAATGGGCCCAAACAGTCTTGGCTGTTTTGCTGCCTGCTCCCTGGTCTGGGATCTGAGCCCTCAAAGAAGCCTCCCAGGATTTTGATTTGGCGTTGCAAGAGATTTGAATAATAACAGCAGCACGTAAGGCATAAGGTCAGCAGACTTGCGAGTCAGGGTTTGATGTGTAAAAAACATCGATAGTCCAAGTCTAAGTTTTGACCAGTCATCGTCAATCCAAAAGATTTGAGGACGCGGCAGCCAATTGGCGGCAGAAGTTAAAGCTGTCTCCACCCACGGCGTGAGTTCGGACAATCTCCTGATAGGGACATTCAGAGACGGTGACGGGGCGTCCGAAAGTTTTTAAGCGCAACTCTTTCTCACACATTTTTCTGAGTCGCCCACGATGGCTTCGCGGCACTTCTGTGGATCCAAACGCATGCCGCCAACCTAGTTTCACCAGTTTGTAAGATTGGGCCGCAGAACCGAGCAGAAGCGCAACGCAAGATATTAGTTTAATCAAAGCGCAAGCCAATCCAATACAGACCTAGTGTAGGACACACAAATCACGAAACCTGCACGAAGAAACACGTTGACACACCAAGTACAGGCTAGGAGCGCAAATCTCACTCCCATCAACTTTGATGCAAAAGCGGCGTCCCCCATAGTTGTACACATTGGTGACATGGCTGCCGCCACCGCTACCACTGCCACCACCGCCACCACTCCCACCACCTACTAGGCACAAGACTTCGGGCAGAGTAATGATGGCGCACAATGAGCCCAAACAAGAATCAAGCTTTCCGGCCTGATGGGCGGCGAAGAGCAGATGGGCGCTTCATCACAGATGGAGCAGGCGCGCTGGAAGAGTCACCCCCTTCAGCAAGGCTATTTCCTCCCTCAGGCTCAACTGGTGCTGGTTCTTTTTTGGGAGTCACCTTTGCTTTCGTTTTTGGCAAAGACTTGGCCTTTGCCTTCGGTTCTTCTGCTCCTGCTGTTTCCGCCTTTTTCTTTGGTTCCGCCTTGGCCTTTGACTTTCCCGTTGGTTCCGACTTTTTCTTTGGTAATGACTTTGCCTTTCCCTTTGCTTCAGCCTTTGGTTTCTTGGCAGGCGCCTCACCTTCAGGCCGCTCCACCGCCGCGGGCCGCTTGCGAACCGGAGCGTCCTCCTCTCAGGCATCCGCGTTTCGAATGCATGTCGAGCTTTGAAGGCAACTTGACAACCGTTTCTGGTTACAGCGTTGATTAAAGCAATCTAGAAAAAGACATGGACTGATGTTCTCCTCTTCAGACCCACTCAAAGCAGTAACTGCTGGAAGAACTGCCATCCGCCACACAGCTAAACTCTGCCAGTCACACAAACGTCAGACACTTTCTTTGAGGGCACTAAAAATGCCGGCGCGTTCAGCTTCAAAAGAGCAAACACTCGTACTAGTAACATGGATTGAAGGGGCCTTTAAGTGGCATTGCAATAGTATATAGTCATTATTGCGTGTCCATGGGTCTTGAATCCAAGCAGCGCATTCATTTTGAACTGCTGTGGTCTTTGGGAAAATGAACTGCCAGCAACTAGGGCTATGATTCCACGCTCACGCACTTGCCCCAGGCCCTACAGAATCGACAGGCCGGTTGACAGCTGGAGGGGGTGGAAACACGTCGAGTTGATAGTATTTGAATTATTTGAAGTGAATCCAACATGCTCAGAAAGGATCTTGAATGGCCTCCTCCCAATCACAAAACGCCTGACTGATTCACCATGAAGAATTTTCAAACCCAGAGGCTCACAGCTTGACCCAAGTCAAAGGAGGAATTTGGACCGACACCGTGAGGTACACTTTTGGCTTGGTCGGCATGACCTTTGGCGTTGATCCTCCAGCTTGCACTTGGACCTGAGGCAACTCCGCTGGGCTGACTTTATGAAAAGTCCCCAATCTCAGTGGCATTACGGCAAAAGGTCTTGAGGGTCACGTCTATTGATAGCTACAGGTTCTTTGTAGTTTTTTCTTGCAAACCCCTGCCTCCCACACCAAACCCGCGTGAGAACAGGAGGACTGACGGGGCACCTTATCCATCGCACCACCAAAAGCGCACCCCAAAGTTGAAGGCTTGTGGGCCGAGTGATCGAAACCAGAAGCCAATGAATTTGGCTTGAAGCAGTTCGTTGACATAGAGGGATCAGGCTTCACGTCATACCTCCACGGAACCAATGTAGGGCCAGATTTGTCCGTGCCAGCAGGAGCCTGAGACCGCGTTTGTGAATCAAAGGTTTGCGCAAAATATGCAGGTTTTGGACGCAGGTTGAGCCAAGGGGCAGGCTCCATTTTTTGCGTGCATTCATGGTCCCAAATGGCAAGGTCAGTGATCCCACGCTCCTGCCCAATCTTGCAAAGGAATTGACAGAATGGCATGGGCGCTTTTTCGAAGGCGACCAACGTCATGTCGCTCTCCAATCGCCAGGGGAGCGTGTGGGTTTCAGCAGGACCCGAACCTAGAACATTACATGGCAAGCAGAAGCACGCTAGCCGCTATTCACGTTCTCGGCATCAAGCATGTTGTCCAACATCTTTTATCTGTAAAATGTGCAGAAAACGTGTTTCAAATTGAATGGCCCAGAAACTTTTCACAATCCTCATCTCAAAGGACCCCACATTGAAGCCGAAAAGTTCTCCGCAAGGAACATCCATCGCCTCCGAGTTCAAGTTCCCGAGGTAGATATCAAAAGACTTCGTGATCAGGATCGAAGGCCTGTTCGCCTTTCCGGGGCACAGCGCCAACCTCGGGAAAAAAAGTACCCCAAGGCACAAGAAGGAAGCTTTCAACCCCAACATCATAAAAGCACTGATTAACCCTGGGCCCTCCAGTACAAGCCACACGTCTACGCTCATCAATTGGACACGACGTCGCTGCACAACCGACTTACGTCAAAAGCCTAGCAACCGGTCCTCCTTGAACTCGCTGGACGGCGTTCTGGCAAGGTCAACCTCCCGAGACAGGTCCAACACACGCGTCCCAGTAAAGTCAGGCGAGCCGGCAGCCCTTGCGCTCACAACGGCGCTCTCCCCACCAGCGGAAGAAGGCCACAAGTCTTCCAACTCCTTCTTCATCCGCAGAATCTGCGCATGCTGGTCACTCCCGTCAGCAAATTTCCTGACCAAAGCATCTGGGAAGATTGGCCGGTTGTTGTGCCACAGGACCAGTGACAGGGAAGGTTTCTCCTTCTCCTCCTTGGGACGTTGTTTTGCTGGCGCGCGCGAGCTACCATCCCAATGGTTATATACCATCTCCTCCACTGCAGCAAGGTTATCCTTCTGCGAGTCCTTGATCAATCCCATGTAAGAGAGAAAAGGTGTGTGCCCGGCCAAGCGTCTCTCGCAAACAGCGCGGCCAAATTCCGGGTACCTTGCGGTCAGGGCTATATACTCCCCCAAACCTCAAACCTCAACAAAGAAACGCCAACTGATTTGAACAGACCACACGCACTGCAAGCCGGCCTGTTGGGGAGGATGTCGAAGACTATCACTTTGTCTTCGGGATCTCGCGTCAGCCCGTTCAGGTATGCATCGATGATGCCATTGTGGACTGCAAGTCCCTTCCTCAACACCACTGCGTGTAGGTTCTACTGCTTCAAACTCTGTCCCCCCCCAAAAAAAAAACACGCACACACCTGAGCGCAAAAATTTCCTTAATTTCTCACCAAGCTAAGTGTCTGCTCGACGCGGGCAGTGGGGCCCGGCTTCACATCAGCGTCATATCCAATCAGGTCTGTGAACTTGATGAGGGTCAAAGGCCCAATCAAGGCAGGCGGCGACCAATGGAGGGACGCTCTCGTGCCAGATCCCGTGACTGCGACGCACGTTTGGATCCCACTTCTTCGATCAGAAGACCGTGCATCCTGTGGCTGCGCAAAGTTCACTGCAACCGTTTGCGTGACATCCAGGCCGGCGCCCATCAGGTGATCCTCAATGATCCTCCTGTGCTTGAGCAAGGCGCTGCTCGCGGTGTTCGAATGGGGCACTGGAAGCTGCACGTGACCGATGTTTGTCACACCCAGGCTCAATACCGTTGCCAGCGTGTTCAAAGCATTCTGGACCACCATTGCATTTGCCGGAAACACAGTCGCGTCCAGCAGCGCCAAAACGTACCTTTAAACCCTAAATTAAAAGAAACGACTGTGGCCAATATAGAAAAGCCAAAGGTGAAAGAACATAAAAATAGCACCAGCACCAAAAAAGAATGAGCAAGGTACGCACGGCCTCCGCCTTCTGTCAATTTGCTGATCTGAGACGTCAGTGCTCTGACGGCAGAACTCATTGCGCTGTCAACAACAATGAACTTGCAGCTCGTCTCCAGCCAGTCTCGGGTGTAATCCTGCCCAGTCCTGAGGAACAAAATGGAAAAAGGCTGGTCAACCTCCACACCACCCACAAATACCAGACTGACCCCAGATAATAGCGCAACGCAAGATATCCTATATGGCTCATCCCTACTTGCCCCCGCATAGTAGGGTCAAACCTTGCGTGGTTTTTGAACTGCGAACCCAAACAAATCTGACACAAGTGTCTTCTGTCTCTGAGCCAAGTATTTGATGTCGAGGGCCGCCTCTTGCGCTTCCTTCTCCTTCGTAGGCACGCGCTCCTTCAGCACTCCCAAGTCCGCCTCAAACTTGAGTTGGAGCTGCTTCAAAGTGGCTGTGTTCACCTGGTCAGCCAATTCACGGTCACGCTCCTCAACCTCTCGCTTGCCGCGCTCCGCGATGTCCGTGCAAATGCTCCTGCGCTGTTTTGAATGGGCCACCAGTGTTTTACATGGGACAAGGTCTTTTTAACCAAGAAGGCTTTCAGCCAAAACAACCTTGCAAACTGCATCGCAAACCCCCTTTCCTCAGGAAGGCCACAGAATCCAAAGGCGCTGGTGGCGCCGTGGTAGAGATTGCATGCACGATGTCAGGATCGAGAAACCCCATCATGAATTGCTTTTGTAGATCGCTGGCAACATCATCATACTCTTTCGTTGGCACCTTCTCTCGCAGCAGTCCCATGAAATACAAGAAGCCTCCACAGCATGCGTGCAATTGATTGCTCTCACGCAAGCCCCAACTCTTGCGCATGTTCGGTGCCAACTTGTCCCAGTCTTGGCACATGCGGCGCACAAGTAGCAAAGCCTGAGTTTCTGAAAAGGTCAGCCGCGCAAGGTGAGCAATAACTTATGGGCTGCGTGTTTGGTCCTTAAATATGGCCCAAAAATTCAAATCCCCAACTCTGCAAGTTGAGAAGCTCAAAGGATACAAAATGTGTCAAATAGCGTGGAACTATCACTCCAGTTTCAATGGTCTGAAATTGTTGGCGCCTACGTTACTTTGTAATTGGCAGCAGTATCGGCAGTGGCTATCGGCAGTGAACCCCAAAGCCCAAAGCTCAACACGGGAGGCGTGACACGGACGCATTCTATTTACTTTGACAACCAGCCAAATTGAACGGGTTACCAACAACACAGCATCAACAGCAGCAGCAGCAGCAGCAACAAGAACAACAGCAGCAAAAGCCAGCTTAACGTCGTCAGGGAACAAGCTCATTGTCATCCTTGTTTGTGAGCTGGCTAGACCACACTTCGGCCCCAGGAATCGAACTGGCGCCCGATGAGTAGGCCAAATTGAACACGCCCTTCGCGACGGTTTCGTGGTGCAGGAAACCGCGCATCCCGCGCATACGAACGGCCTGTCGAAGCGAATCCACCACCGGCTTAGCCACATTTTTTTGCAGATTGACCACCGACATGCTTTCAAACTTTCCGATTTGGAAAGCGCGAGCTACGGAGGCTGCATTGTCCCACACCTCAATTCGCAGAACATACTCCAACTCGCAAAACAGGATCTCAACACAGTGAAGTAACAAACCAACAGTTTGAAGAAATTTGTTTCATTCCAATTCTGGGCCGCTGGTTCTTTCCCCCGACTTGGCCATGAAAGAAAAGCCCCCAAGTTGCTTGCGACCCATCCAAAACCTGGGTTTTGAGTTCTCGACAGAAGACTTGGAGGGGCCTTTTCATTGCCAAATGCTGACTAACACAACAAGGTAAGCTAGCGGCACTTATTATTCAAAACAAGTAAGCGCAGCTCAGGCACAGCAAGCGATTCTCCGGAAGATCCCCCGCGCTCCAGAACTTCCATCTGTCGCATCAGATTGAACACGTGAGGCGCTCGCCTCGTTGAGGTTGAGGACATGGTAATGCCTGCATCAAGGCCACATGTAGACTACAAAGTGACTAGTGGCGGCTATTGCAAGTGAAATGAAGAAAACCCAACACCTAAGACAGAATGGAGAAAACCCGACTGCTAAGACCAATCGACTAACAGCCGGGTGCCTCTAGAGGCAAGGACCTGGTCCTGCACATGGTCATAGTGGGCATGTCGCGTGCACTGTCTTCATAGAGTTCTGACACGCCAACAAACTGAGTCTCACAGTGGCCCTCACACTCAAGCAACCAAACAACGTTCGCTTTGCTACCTCGACCTCCAAGAGAGGTCAAGTCAAGACCACAAAAATAAATAGGGCCAACTGCAGTGTAGTTGGCCCTATTTCTTTTTGCAGTCTCTTGACCTCTCTTGGCTCTTGCCGACGCCGCTCGGAAAAACACGCTACCTCCGCACCTTGTAGGATTCAGAAAGTTCATCGAAATCCAGAGCCAAAGTGCGGATTGCTTCTGCAACGATCAAAGCCGTGATCGATCGTCTCCAGCCCTTGATATACGCAACGGAAAAAGGCGGAATTTCATCACCTTACACAGCGACCCAATTTCAATTTCTATCTTTGGGTGCGCACAACACACCACCATAAATATACTAAATATCAAGAACGATGAGCGAACCCTTCAAAGACTGTGCTGCGCACTGGCCAAGGGTGGCAAAGATTTGCACGATGCCTCAAGGAATGCGCTATCTGGCTTAGTGATAGCCAGGCGCTCTACGCCAGGCAAAGCTGCGTCTGTACGAAACCTAGGTTCCAAGCATCTTCAACTGAAAGTGTTCAGTCCAGCTGAGGTTCGGCAACACCTTTTGCTGAAAAAATTGCACATCGACTCAGCCATGAAACCCCTCCGTCAGGTAGAGCTCCGCCAGAGTATACAACTGTTCCGGTTCCTGAAGGGAGCTCAACCCGTGATCGGCTCGCCATGCAAGGTGGTACGGTCTCAGGGTGTGCACACCCTCGCGCAGCTCATCTGGTGATCTGTGCCTGCAGCTGCTGCGCTTGGCAGCTCAATGCACCCTTGAATTGCAATCGTCCACTTGGATTGGCTTGCATCAAAGACCCCCACAAGTCCGGTTCGACCTGCCTGAAATGCAGGTTTTGG